AGATGTTGCATGACTGATTTACCTTAAGTGAATCTTCTTGAGCTATGCATGCCTTCAGCAGTGATCATTTAGTATGACTATTATTCACTTGGTTAATAAATAATATCAAGTGCAACTTACAATACAGATCGCTGACATTAAGCACACACAATAAAGCTGCCACTAGCTGGAAGAGTTACACTTGTATCACCTAAGTAGAATGAAACAGCAAGCAATCAAACAGTAAACACTGCAGATACCAATGAGTGAACAGCCTGTTAGTATTCCATGTTTATAATTAGCACCTAATACTAGCAATTTGAGACTATAAAGAATGAGTGCAATGCTGTGATGACCAGCTGAGAGATCATGAGTCTAAGCAGGAGAACGTTGGGCAGGTACAGGGAGGTCGTCAGGAACTGAGCAGTTCTTATTTCTGTGGGAAGGTTTTTTCATATCGAGGAGTGAAGGTGGATACTGAACAGGATCTAGACGTGGGAGAAAAGAGGAGGCACATAACGTCTGTTGGAGAAGGGACAGAGAGGGAAAGAAGGCAGTAGGGGAAAGACCAGAGACTGAAGATGGACAGGAGCAAGAGAGGTGGAGACAAAAAGTAGATTTGAATCGTATGGGAGCAGCAATAGGAAGCCAGAGGAAGGACTAGAGACCTGGAACTGCATGAGAAAACCATCACTTTAGCAGCACTGCAGTGTGCAGCTCTTACACAATGGTGTCCTCCACTGCAAGGATGCGGTCAGACTCACCTTTAATCTCCGAACCATCTCTTCTTTGGAGATCTTGTCAGAGATCTCCTTGACCCCCGGCGGGTAGGTGATCTTGCCATCAGTGGCTCTGGCCTTGGAGTGAGCCATGGTCTCAGCTCAGTGCTCCCTGGAGAGACAGAGAGAGAGCAGGGCTACCGGTCAGTCCACAGTCACAACATAACGGCTGCACCTTTGTCCACCTCAAGCCCTGCAAGCAGGTTTTAGTTTAACCAGGCATGGTTGATAAAAAGAACAGTAAACTGTCTATGACGTTCTTAGTTCAAGCGCTGGTATAACTATGGGCTCGACGCTCCAAGAGAGAAGAGAGGTTAGGTTCTGTTCTAGATGTTGTTACTTATCAAACTACTATACATAAGTAAATCTGTTAAATAGCTTCCCGATCTAAATATTCAAACAGAAAAGGTTAAACTCAAATACAAATACTGAAGTTCGATGATTAGATGCGCTGGAAGTGCAGTGGCAATCGATTTGAGGGGGCTGACAAAAAACGAAAACAAATTCATTCTAACAGCTTATCTTTTTGAATCTTATGCACCAGTCAAATTTATTGACTTCACAAATCCTTACTAGTCACAATAAAAAAAAAAGAAAAAATGTGGGCTTGGGCTCCTTCCCTCGTCACAGCTTGTAAAAAATTAAAGGGACTGCAATCAGAATGAAGCTTTCAGAGTCTGGTTTTGGAGCAGCCGTTTGCAGATAATTGCCTAATAGGCAAAATAATAAGACCAAGAAAAAGCAAAGTCAAACAGATTTCTTACTAAGATGTACAAAGGGACCATGAGTCACACAGAGTGTACAAATCACTCTTGGCAGGGGTTCCCAAATCTAGATCTCAAGGGTTTTTTATGACTTGGCAAATCGGCAACAACTGAAGGATGTGAGGAATGGACAAACTGGATCACTTTCAAACTTTTCCCAGGCAATGAACTGTCTAAAAAGAAAGAAGACACTGGAAGCCTGCTGGAGTCCAGACACTAAAGACAGGTGTTTTGAATCCCTGGTCTAGCAGCGCAATGTAACAGACTGCAGTGCCACCACTCTCCTCAAGGTGTCACTCCAGCACATGGATACTGTAAAGTGTTCAGTGTCCAAATTGCCCTTTTTTTTTACTGCACACATGAAACAATCCCTCAAGCTTTCATATGACCACATGCCAATTTTACCCACTCTAAATTTAAAAGATGGTCTTTCATTACAAGCCCATTTCTACTTGTATTGCATAGTGCTTTTCACAACTCAAAATCTCATATACCCTCTAGTCAAATAGCTACAGTGGACTCTAAAAATGAAACTTTAAAAAATTAGGTATAACAGAGATGTTGGAGAAATAATGAAGCTGAAGGCACTGCAATCATAAAGAGGACAAGAGCTTACTGGGGAAAGTCCATCTCTGACACAATCTGGACATAGTTCAATGTCAATCAGGGACAATGTCAATCTGGACAATCTGACATTGGCACAATGGTGTGGTGGCTCTGTGGCTAAGGATCAGCGCCTACGCCTGGAAGGTTGTCGATTCGTATCCTGTGGCCAGCAGAGCAATCCTACTCTGTTGGGTCCCTGAGCAAGGCCCTTAACCCCAACTGCTCCAGGGGTGTCGTGTAAATGGCTGATCCTGCGCTCTGACCCCAAGCTTCCCTCCCTGTCTGTGTGTCTCATGGAGAGCAAGTTGGGGTATGTGAAAAGACAAATTCCTAATACAAGAAATTGTATATGGCCTATTAAATGATCTTATCTTACATGCCTGCATGCCCCAGACCTGTTATGTGGACATGGTTCTCCATCTGGGCAGCATGATGGCACAGTCGTTAGCACCTGGGCTCTGGGTTCAATTCTGGATGAGAGGTGCTCTCTGGGTGGCGTTTGTGTGTTCTCCCCGTGTTCACATGGGGTGTGCCGGTTCTTTCCCCACAGTCCAAAGACATACTGGTAGGTTAACTGCCTTCTGGGAAACTGGCCCTAGGGGTGGGTGTGGGTGTGTGTGTGTGTTTGTGAGTGTCTGCCCTGCGATGGCCTACCCTGCCTCACACCTGCTGCTTGCAGAATAAGCTCTGGCTCCTCCACAACACAACTGAACTGGAAGAAACAGTCAGAAACCGGATGGATGGAATTTCCACTGAAATGAACAAACACCAGCAACAATAAAATATATAGATATGAATGCAGAGGCATTTCTGATGGGCTTAAAAGACTGACCTAAATTTCCTAATCATTAAAATACGAATTTTGTACAACCCTTTAAAAATATAATGTACCAATCACCACCCATTGGAGAGAATGTGTTTATCAGACGGTGGTAAACACCTGATATTCCAGCATCGGCTAACCCCCATGAACATGAAAGTCTCCCAGCAATCATTCCAGGCACCTGTACAACACTCTGAGGTTAACAGCAATCAATGCAAGAGCTGCTGTTGGTGAAAACGAGTTGGTATTCTAAAATGATTAAAGAGAACTTAGTGGAGAGACACCCCTGCACACTGACAGTGTCACTTCAAACAGGATATAAGATCCCTGGAGGCCTGGCTTTCTTCCTTCCTAGGGTCACTCTTTGAGGAATTTATCATGATCTGTGATTCTTAAAAAATCCATTCAACAGACAACGCAAGTGAAAAACAGTACTGTTTGATACGACTGTAGGACATCTTTTAACAGCTCCAGAAACTGCAAAGCAATCTAACGGACAGGCCTAATGCTTTTTATTTCTATTTTTCTAAAGAGCCACAAAAGCACGCTTTTGTGTTATTAAAGGGGAACAAAGGGTTAATTTAATAAGATGAATAAAAACCAGGCTCAGAATGTACCCTGAGCGTAAAAAAAAAAAGCTGAAATAAAATCTCCTTCTCTATTTCTGTTTCAGACCCGCTTTCCCAAGAGCGCCACATGCCAAGCTAGGGGCTCATTTCTTCTGCAAGAAAATAAAATTTATTGGGGCATTAACTTCTGTGGTGCAGCAGTCAAGGAGACTCTGGGAAACCCAGAACACACAGCGCAATGTTGCAGTCCTGCTCTAGCGGAGCTAGAGGCTATTCGGAAAACAACCCAAAAAAAGAATGCGCTTCTTTGAACAGGGTGCAGACAGGGTCATCAGTATTGCAGCTCCCCCTTTGCAAACACTGAAAAATGAGCCATGTGGCTCATCCTCACTTTTGCCACGAGGACGAGCACATCTGCTAAAGAAAGGGGATTGCAAACATCAATTTCACTTTTTTCCCCCCCAACGCTGCATCTCTTAAATATTTATGCGAGGAGACAAATTTACCGCGCGCTGTGTGGCAAATGCAATCCGAGTCCCCACAGGAGCCCGGGCGGATGGATGGGACCGAGCAGAGGCGACTGCTGACGTCTCTCCTGCTCAGCACATCTGCCAGACGGGCTCGCAGCTCATCTATCGCCTGCCTCTGCCTGCGCAGGCCGGGAGAGCGCAGAGAAGGAGCTTTGGCACACGCGGCAAAGGCAAAGACGTGCTGGATGTGAAATCTTGGACCCCACCCGAAGGCTACACCTCTGATGGAAGGGGAACTGCGACGCTAATTTTTAGATTCTGGGGTTAGAAAGAGTCGCCAATGAGCGCATTTCAAACCGCAATGAGGGTAAAATGTACACA